TGACGCCGCTATCGTAGAAGATGCAGAGTCCACCGTGGTGGTGGTAGTGGTGGGTGACGCCGCGATAATAGAAGATGTGAAGTCCACCGTGGTGGTGGTAGTGGTGGATGACACCGCCATCGTAGAAGATGTGAAGTTCACCGTGGTGGTGGTAGTGGTGTGTGACGCCGCTATCGTAGTAGATGCAGAGTCCACCGTGGTGGTGGTAGTGGTGGGGGACGCCGCTATCGTAGTAGATGTGAAGTCCACCGGGATCGTAGAAGTGGTGGGTGACGCCGCGATTGGAGTAGATGTGAAGTCCACCGCGATAGTAGAAGTGGTGGGTGACGGCGCCATCATAGTAGATGCAGTGGTGGGTGATGAAGCGATCGTAGTAGATGTGGAGTCTACCGAGTTTACAATAGTGGTGGATGATGGTGTGATCATAGTAGTTGTGCTTGTAATTGCTGAAGGAAAGGATATATATTGCATTTAATATGCAATGCAAAAAATAATAATTTCCAAAAGTTTTTGAAGCAAAAAGAAACAAAATTGTAGCTTAATAAATTAACTCTGAATTACTTAACTCTTAATCATAAAACAAGACAGCTTTTTTTTAAAGTTCGTCACTAACTCATGTAGCCTTGAGCAATCGTTCGAATGATAATATGTGTTAGAAAACGTGCACATGCCTTCCAAATCCAGTGACCCTATCAGATCTCATTTTATTTTGCAGTAAGCGTTTTTATTTTTATTATTTATTTCTATGGATTCATTGACTTAAAGTGCACTTGGTCGAAAACTGTTAATTAACAATTATTCGCCGAAGGCAAAGTGAATATCGCTAATCACTGAGCCTGATGCAAATAATCGTTTTAGTATAAATACACAGGTGATTCTTTCAAAAACAAAATAAAAGGCTTATTTTCCCGGTAACAGCAACAAAGTGGCTGGTCGACATTTTGGATTTTCGCTCGAGGTGATTATCGTGTGATAGTGTGAGTTTTTTGACCAATCAGCGCGCGAGATTTTCTATAATCACCTGCGTATTTTTACTAATACATAATATTCAAATGTTAAATAATCACTTCATGATCAATGACGTCATGTACTCAAAGCAAGACATTCTAATAGAGTGTGTGCAACCATGTGACTCAAAATCCCTTGAGATATGAATAACAATGAAACAACCACCATGTTGGTTGATCTAACAAGAGAAGTTAATAAGGAATGCTTTGTTATCGTCAACCAAGATGGCGGCAATGACGTAACATGAACATGCTCTATAGCCCCTCTTACAGTTCCTTGCGCCAGACCTATTTTTAACACCTGGAACAATTATTCACGTCCCTATCATTGCGAGCTCGCCATTCGTCTCGCTTCAATGCAAAGGCACGGCTAGCTTTCAAGATGGCGCAAGGAACTATGAAGGGGACTATTGACGCGTTATAAATTTTTATATAATAGATGTAGTCAATAGATTGATTTAAAATAATAATATCAAATATGTCCGAATAAACTAAAAGTGCTTTTCGATATCTTCGACTTTCATTAAACAAAACGTTCATAAGAAGGACTTTGCTTTCAGTGATTTTCTTACATTAATGATTGTTTTACTTGAGTTTTTTGAATATTGAGATATCATCTGAACGAAACTTTTAAAGTATCTTAAACGTGAAAAGATAAAATATGCAATTTTATAGACGTTTAGTTTTAATTTGTAACCGCGGCCACTAATTATTCGTTGTTTGTGGAATAGTTGAGAAAGTTTCATAAAACAGGTATAGATGTGCCGAGGACTGGAACTACTTGCACGGACTTGAAATCCCATCCAGTCCTCATTGTCGGCTTTGAAATATTACTTCAAATCTTTGACGTGCATAGTCTGCATGTAAGCTGTCCCCCGGAAAGTCTTAATTCAAAAGAACTACGTACTATATTTTTATATATCCTTTATATTGAACTACGTTTTCATTGTCGGAGGGCTGAGGATTGCCAGAACTTTTTAAAAAGGGTTGTACTCAGTAGGAAATTAATGACTTTCCTATTACAAGTCAAAGAGGAAACAGTTTTGACTCCCTAAGAGAGTTAAATATTTCTAATGATAACCCTCCCCAATAAAAAGCATACCTTTCCCTTAGATATATCATTTAGAGATATTCGTATTGAATTTAATAGGTGATTAAACAGTGTTGTGTTACGATGTTTTATAAAGCTATGTAAAATAAAGATTTAACTAGACAAATGACAAAAAGAGTTAAATAACTATAAAAATTCTCAAAACTATGAATTGTAAGGTATGCTAAAAACAATTTTTTGATAATAATTTTAAAATTATTATTATTATTATTATTGATATTAAAAAAAAATCGTTTTGAATCGTTTTGTCGGATGTTACCTGTTGAACACGATGGCAACAGCATCAGGGCCAAAAGAAAGGATTTCCAAGCCATTTTTAGCGTTTTCATAGCTGGCTCATTAAAACGATACCATATCACTCGCCTGTTCGCTTTCGACTGATTCCAAGAAATCAGGCCACAGAATGTCTGATCAATAGAAAGTTTTGGTGTATTCTCTGAAGCTTGACCGCCAAAGGCAGTAATTGCAATACAAAAAAAAAAAAAAAAAAAAAATCAAAAAAAAATTAATTACATTAATTTTAAAACTAAGATCTTCAGTTGAGGAAGTTATTTTGATCTATTTTGCTTTTTACTAACACCTAATTCTTTCGTTCTCAATCTTTGATTAAATTCTAAAAACTTTTATGAACTTTAAAATAAATACAATTTTAAACCTACAAACTCCATACAAAGAAAGATTATTATAACATTTCATCTCAAGAATATTCTCAGTCAATATCAGGACTCTCGACACAGATATTGCGGGCTTATGTATAAAAAAAAGAGTGAGCGTTTTTCAAGCAGGAAATTAAATTTGCCAAAACAAACTTTGTTTATTTGAATGAGTTATATTGTTTTTATCTCAATCTGTCATAACGAGCCACACGTTCTTAGCAACCAAAAGACCCCCAACTGATGGGTATGTTTCGACTACCCATCAGTTGGGGGTCTCTCTACATTCCTTCTTGRATAAGTGATACTGCGATGACAGATTTTGTAAATGCTTATGGTAACGCAATGTTAAAAGAATAGTACTACTTCGAGATTTTATCTTTCTTTTCTAATTTCAGRGCATGATAAAAACATTTATAATATATAAATTCAAATTTTACATAGCTGTTGAGCGCTATTATTCCAATACTACAACACTACAATGATGTCGTGACCGAACGTTTGACCCCAGCCGTCCCCGTGGCCAGATCATACTCGAGTTATTAGCCTCACGTTTATGARGGAAACTATATGACGACTTTTCTTCTCTAAGCTACTAATAAATACCAGATTTCATATATCTTTCGAACTATTTGAAATAAAATGACTCAAGCCTGGACTTCATACAGCTAAGCATAGAGAACAGTTACGTTCAATATACCCGAAGCACTCGGGGTCTAAAAAATCAAAATTGTCCAGGACTTCATACTGGATGAACCAGCTAAGCATAGAGAACAGATAAGTTCAATATACCCGAAGCACTCAGGCTCTAAAGAATAAGATTTGACCAGGTCTTCATGCTGGATGAACCAGCTAAGCATAATCAATATGCCCGAAGCACTCAGGCACAGTTATACTAAAATAATTCTAATACTGAATAAAATCAAGATTGACCTTTATAGTCATGAGAACCGCATATTAGAAACTTACCTCTGGGTTGTTCTACATAACTAGTAACTTATAGATTTAAACATGAGCGTTTACCAGACTTTGCGCTGTGCCTTACAGAAAATCATCAAAACGCCTTGACTATGTTGTGCCTGACTAGGACATAAACACAGTTTGGCGGGAAATCGAAAAGTCTGCTATTCTCGTTGATATCTATTGCATTTCAAGATGTATTTCCTTCCTTTGCCTTAAAATTGCTTCAAAAGCTCCGGCAGGTTGCG